GAAATAGGACTTTGTATGAATATAATATCATTATATTCTCATGGTTAAGTGGCGTCAATTTCTTACCGTGTCCACTTATGGTTCCATGCACCCATACTCTTCTTCTTAATCACGAACAAATTAGAAAAATTAAACTTTTATGGCTTCTCTTTAAGTCTATATTAAAAATCATGTATTATAGAATGGACTCTTTGTGCCTGTGTGCATAGTCAACAAATCAAGAACCCAAAAACAATGCTGAAAAAAAGTTCAAGGAGGCACCCTTTGATATTCTACAACAACTAAACAAAGTGGCCCCTATTCTTTTGCTCATCCTTAAGCTCAAATTCAAGAAACAACAATACCCACCAAATCAAGAAGAAAACAATGAAGAAGGCAAAAACAATGGTGATCTTTTTTTTTTTTTGAAGGGCCCTAGTCAAGAAACAACAGTACATACCCAATAAATCAAGAACCTAGAAATGATGAAATCATAAAATGATGAGCATATTGCTTCGTGAAATTAGAAAATGATGAAATCAAGAAATAAAAAAATGATGAAATCATGAAATCAAAACCATTTTGCTTCATGAATGTATTTTCTTTATTTGAGAGAAACTGAAGTTGAGGGAGGATATAGCTTGAAACTCAGATGTCGGCATGGGTGTGGTTGACGATGAATAGACACAATGCTAGGAGACTTCTCTTCTTCTTCAACGAACATGAACATGAGACACAATCGACAAACACGAGCTTGGAGAGAAGGGCAGGTGACACAAGGTTCAGAGAGTGAGAGAGGTACAGTACAGGTGAGCTTTAGAGAGGGAGAGAGAGGTGGCGATGAGGTGAGATCGAGAAGAAGAAGAACAGTATAGTAGAGGCAAGCTTCAGAGAGAGAGAGAGGGGAGGTGGTGAGGTGAAATTGGGAAGAAAAAGAACACCGATTTGAGGAAGCAACAACACCAATTTAAGCAAAAAGAAAGTGATCTCATGATCAATGGATTCTAGAAAATTGGAATAAGAAGGACAATTTCTTGGTGATCTCGTGGAGTTGTGGTGTCATGAAAATGCAACAAAGCAATAGAAGGTCAAAATAAGCAATATCATTGTCAATGTCATCACTTTTGTTAGGTCAAATCAAAATTGTTACTTTTTAATTATATCAGGGAGACATTACACTTAAAAATACTTAAGAATACCAATCGCACCTTAAGAAAAACTTCAAGGTGAAATTGCACCTTAATCCTAAATTTTAATCAATTGCTTGATAAAAATAAATAAATAAATTTTAACCAGCACATAAAATTAAAAAAAATAGTTAAACATGATAATTATGTGTACAATTAAAAAAATTTAACTAAAATGTTCCTGTTATTAATTTTTAACATGCGGGGACAATCAAGTTTGTTTATCAAAAATAAATTCTAATTTTATGAGATGCAATTCCTTCACTCCCAAATTTTTTGTCATAGGAGGAATATCGTACATTAGATTTGCCCTTGATTGAAACATTGTACATTAGAGCCCACTGGATGTCGTTTGCTTTATGGATATCGAGTTTTTTAGCTGACTATGGTTTCTAATTAGGATGAAACTCGTATAATTCGCCAAAACTCTTATCTCTTTCTCATTACCACCTATATTTCAGGTTGACTTGGAAAAATAAAAGTATTCTTTTGGTAAAAAAAAAAAAAAAACTAGTAATCGGTCTCAATACCACCTTCTTTTTATCCTTTTTCTGTTCTGTTTATGATAATCCGAACTCAAAATTCAAAATTCAAAATTCAAAGCAAAACGATGAGGTGTGAGAAAGAGAATCTAAATGAAAGAAGTCCAACAATAAGAGCCTTGCATAAGGTAAGGGGTGGTTTTTTTATTTTTCATGAGATTGATCTCACAAAAACCTGAATGCCATTTAAAGAGTTACCTTTCTCAACAAAAGGCTTGGTTTTTAACAAAGGTGACTAGGCTCTTCAATAGAGGGCTCAGTTCCGAAAGCTTTTCTTCGGTAGAGGTGAAAACTTATAAATAGGCTTAAGTACATCGCCCTAAACCTATGCTTTTAGAATAAATTTGGGCTTTAATATACCAACTACCAAAAAATGAGAAGGATAATAGGCTTGGCTATAAATGTATGGGCTAAGCGAGTTTTGGAAGCCGAGGAGTAATTGTTCGTCATGAAAACGTTTGTGGGTTAAGCTCAAAAGTTTTTCCAAGCCTAACAAAACATTTCGGCTAAACAAGCCCAACATTACTTTATGGAGCCCATTTAGAAATAGCCATGTTGCTATGTTTATATATGTAAGAAAAAAGCCATATTGCTATGTTCGTGTTTTACTTTTTCCCTCCCTATGCTAGCTGTCAAGTTCTCAAGCCTTATGGTTTGACCATGCTTATAAGAAAGTGAATAAATATGTCGACTTGCTTGCTCATCAGATATCTCAAAATAACTTCAATATTATAGCTTTAGACAATTCGCCATCTGAAAGTATTAACCTTATGGTTTTAAATATAACTTGATTTCAGTCTCTTTACATGATTTTTCTGTTGCCTAGCATTACTAAAAAAAAAAAAATCTCAACCCTTGCTTCCTTTTTTAATTTGATCATTTTATTGTTTTATTTATATCTTAGGGCCAGGCCGTTCGTGTCTGATGTCTCCTTGTATGTGTGAATTCACTTAATCATATAAAATCCATTTCTCGCAAGTCTTTAAATCTCAAATTACATTATTGTGCCTATATCTAGGAAAATTATGATAAAAGATCTCAAGAAATTAAATATGATTTTGATTTTAAAAAGTTGATATTTTTGCATGGTTTGAGGTTGAACCCCAACATTTTCTGACAAATATACAATCAAGTCTTGTGAATTTGCCCCAATTGCCATCATTCCACATGGTTAATGCTAGCAGCCCTAGAACCAAATTTCCGCCAACACTAAGTAAAGTAAAATTGATAATTCAGGCTAAGTTTGATGGATTAACTGAACTCCTAAAAAAAGTTAGGGCAATGAGTGAATATATGAGTTTTTTTTAAGAGAATATGATACTTTAAACTTGATATAAATAAACAAAATTTAAATTGAGCTTAGTCCAAATAAGCCCGACCGCTAGAATTTTTGACTCTATATGTATATATAGTCAATAATTTTAGCCAAGCTCGATAGGCTAACCCAAACCTAGCTGAAAAAAGTTAGGGTTGGGTTTGACTATTTGAACTTTATAAGATGGTAGGATATTTTAAGCCCGATTCAAATAAGTTCGGCCTAAATTAAGCATGACTTGCCTAAATTACTGATTCCAATTAAATATGCACATTTGTCTGAAAATTATTCTATGAAAGTCTAAGAATTCTTAGATACGTCAAGCACGTCATGTTATTTGAAATTTGTTCAATAACAACGTGACATTCAAATGTCATTAAATATAAATTGATTTTAATATTAATAATAGTAGAGAAAAAAATAATAAATTAAAACATTTTATAATAATCACAAAATTAATTAAAATAATATTGTGTTAGATTTTATTTAGATGATTTAAAATAATTTAATTGAATAGGTTATAAATAATATACTACATTCAATTTATTGAAGAATATCCCCCAATAAGAATTTCTCATGCCAGTCTTCGTATGAAAAGTCTGTGCGCTTGTTGGATCACTTGGACACGTCATTCAGTTCCGCAATAGGTGCAATTTGATAGGTGTCTCTGATTCAGAGAGACCATTTTGAGACGAGATTGACGTGAGCGTCTTCTTCGACCGCTTTCATTTTGTGGACCAAATATATTCTTTGCTTTCGCACTTGCTATTTTGAGAATTCAGTATAAACACGAGAAATATTTGTATACAAATGAAGCGTCAAACAAGCTAGAACCAAGTGAAACCATAACTTCTCCCTCACCTCAAATTACCTGTATTACCTTTTCTACGAGTTTATTCGACAAATTCAAAGCTAAACCTGACACTTTTTTCTTCATTAAATTTTACATTTTTCAAATGTTGAAATAATTTTATAAAATTATTATGTGAGTTTCATTATTTAATTATTTAGTAAATCATTTAATGAAGCAAATCAATTTAGTGAATTAAAAAAAAACTAATTATGATACTGAAAATACGTCGAGAAAAGTACAAAAAGTTACGTGTGTCAAGGGTCAACAAGGTTGATGGGTGCGTTAAAAGTCTGACATAGCGATTTTTTTGCCCAGCCTCGACGTAGCTAGTGAAACTTTACTTCATGCACATGGGTGTTGAATTTAGCCCTACCACTACTTATTTATTTATTTATTTATTTGAGCTCAGGAATAACATAATGTGAAATAACGAAGAGATCAATCTAATATCTATGCTTATAGAATCAATATCAACATGATACATAAAAATAACACAATGAACTGATAATTTTACTCTCAACTGATATATGCGATATATCATATATATTCTTTTATTATATATTCTGCAACTTAGTTCAGCTTTTCTTTTCCATTTTTCTCCCTTTCTCAAATTTCTTTCCTTTCTTTTTCTGGAAAAGGTTGAGATGAGACTTGAGAGAGTCTTCGACTTTTTGCATATATGCTATATATACATATATAGTATAAACGCAAGAATTATATTTGCAGAAATGTCAAAAATATTGAAACTATATCATCACTCTCAAATGACATGCACGCAGTACTTATTCTGTATGTTTATTTGACAGAACCAAAAGTCTCAATTTAATTTCAAGTTATTTTTTCTGTATTTTAAAAAAATTATTCAAGTCGCACAACGTTTAATTTCGTTTTTTTTAATTAAATTACGAGGACCTTCAATTTGCGAAATGTTTTTAAACTATAAGGACTTCAAATATAAGAAATACAAAACTTTGTTAATTCCCAATGCATACTTATTTTGTTTGAATGAAATATGATGAACGGTAAACCGTGAAAAATTACCCACAAGGAAAATAATATAACAAATATTATATATATGGGTCATTGCTTTTTAAAGAAAAGCCACGTGAATGCACAGGCAAAACATGAGCAAGTCTCTGAGTGTCCGGTTTGCTATTCTCTTCTTCTTGTCTGAAATTGTAGGATTAGGCTTGTGTGGGAATTTAACAGTGGCATGCTTAGAAAAAGAGAGGCAAGCTCTTCTCAAGTTCAAAGCGACCCTCACCGATCCCTCGGACAGGCTTTCTTCTTGGAATTCCAACGATTGCTGCCGCTGGAATGCTGTGACCTGTGACAGTGTTACGGGTCACCTTCTCAAGCTTGATCTAAGGAATCCATGTTACAGCTCAACGGACGAATTTTGTGACTATAGCCAACACTCTGTTGCAGCTTCACAAATTGATCAATCTCTCATGCAATTGGAACGCTTGAGTTACTTGGACTTGAGTGGAAACCAATTTCATGCTGCTCCAGTTCCTCTTTTCTTTGCTTCTCTGCATCAGCTAAGAAATCTTTCTCTCTCCAACGCTAATTTTAGCGGGAAGATTCCTTATAATCTTGGCAATCTCACGAACCTACTCCATCTTGATCTCAGCGTCAATGGTTTCCAACTCACTGACATGAACTGGGTTTCTGGGCTTCGGTCACTGCAAAGCCTTGACATGCATGGTGTAGAACTTGGGAAAGCACATGATTTATTCCAGGTATTTTACAAGCTTCCTTCCTTATCAAGTTTGAATTTAGCGGAGTGTGAAATTCACTCCTTGATTCCTCCTCTTCACTCTCTGAATTTGACCTATATTCCAAGGATTCAAGTTCTTGATCTCACTTACAATTCACTTGAAAGTCGCAGTCTTGATGTTCTCCAAAACATGACTTCTCTTGGAGTCCTTGCCCTTACTGTCAACAATCTAAGTTCCTTGCCATTGTGGCTCAGTAAATTTGGTAAGCTTGAGGAACTCTATGTCGCTCATAATAGACTTCTAGGTCCGCTTCCTCTTGCTCTCCAAAACTTGTCTTCCATAAGAGTCCTTGACCTTTCTTCCAACAATCTCACAAGTTCTGTTCCGTCATGGTTAGGTGAGCTAACCAACCTTCGCCAGCTATTTCTTTCCTCAAATAATCTGACTTCTTTAGAATCTCCACTATCCTTGATTCTGAAGAACATGTGCCGTTTAAAAATATTAGATTTCTCAACCAACAACTTCCATGGAAAAGCATATGGAAGCTTTGAATCTGGATGTGTCAAGCATGATCTTGAACAGATTGACTTGAGCGGTAATAAATTTGAAGACTATTTGCCGAGCTGGTTGGGGGAGCTTGAAAATCTAAAGGACCTTCACATATCAGCAAGCACGGTCTTTGGTCCCATGCCCTCTTCTCTTGGAAAATTGTCACAGTTGACAAAACTTGACCTTAATAACAATCGTTTGAATGGAACAATTCCTGAAAGCCTTGCAAAGCTTATGAATCTAACTTTCTTGCGTCTTTCCGGCAATCTATTGGAAGGGGCTATTCCAGACAGTGTTTCACAACTGGTGAATGTGAATTTACTTGACCTTTCAAACAATGTTCTCACAGGCACCATTCCACGAAGTTTGGGTCAACTTGTAAATTTGCAATACCTCGGTCTTGCCAATAATGATTTACATGGTGAAATTCCAGACAATTTTGGGCAACTTGTGAAGCTAGTTGAGTTAGACCTTTCTTTAAATAGTTTGAGAGGATCAATATCATCTTTTAAAGGATGGTCATTTGAGCAGCTCAGAATCTTGAATCTCTTTGGTAACAAGATTAGTGGATCGTTGCCTGAAAATATCCACGACATAATGCCTGGGTTGCAGTATTTGCTTCTTGGGAATAACTCCATGAATGGTTCGATACCAAACTCGTTGTGCAAAATTTCCACCTTGCTTCGACTTGATCTCTCCAAGAACAAATTGTCAGGAGAAATTCCAGATTTCTGGCAGGATAATCAAGAATGGGATGAAATAAACTTGTCATCCAACAAGCTATCAGGTGGTATTCCAAGCACATTCGGTAATCTTTCCTCGTTGCTGTGGCTGCACGTGAACAATAACAGTCTTCACGGGGAGCTTCCAATATACTTGAGGAATTTAAAGCAGCTAGTGATCATGGATGTTGGGGACAATCAATTTTCTGGAAGCATACCGCCATGGACTGGGGACTCTTTTCCCATGCTACAAGTTCTTAGACTGCGACAAAATAAGTTGACTGGTACCATTCCTTCACAGCTTTGTCAACTCACATCACTTCAAATCTTGGACCTTGCAAGTAACAGCTTAACGGGTTCAATACCTCACTGCATTGGTAATCTTAGTGGAATGATTAAATCCAACAGTTCTAATGAATCCAAAGTAAAATTTGATTTCAATTTTTTTGTAGCAAACTTTATTGATGAGTGGCTTGCTGAGGATGTTACACAAGTTATGAAGGGTACAGAACTTGATTACATCAAAATATTGAAGTTTGTGGTGAACATGGATCTGTCTGATAACAATTTGGCAGGAGTTGTACCTAAAGGTATAACTCAGCTCAACAGACTGATTGGCTTGAATCTGTCTCACAACTATTTGAAAGGAGGGATTCCTGAAAGAATAGGAGATATGAAATCACTTGAATCTCTCGACATCTCCTGTAATAATATTTCTGGAAAAATTCCAGAAAGCATGCCTACTTTAACTTCATTGAGCCACTTAAACCTGTCATACAATAATCTTTCAGGAGCAGTTCCAACAGAGAACCAGTTTTTGACTTTGGGAGACCAACGTATTTATGCTGGCAACCCTCACCTATGTGGAGCTCCACTTCCAAATAAGTGTAATGGCAGTGATTTTGATGATCGTGTTCATGGAAGTGAAGGGTCTGAAGATGATGATAAGGATTCAGAGAAAGTGTGGTTTTATTTTGTGGTAGCGATTGGGTTTGCAGTTGGGTTTTGGTCTGCAATTGGGACACTCCTGTTAAAGAAGAGTTGGAGATATGCTGTGTTTCGCCGAGTAGATGATGTGGCCGACGAAATATATGTGACCGTGGCATTGAAAGTAGCAAAGCTGAAGAGGATGATGAGGAATCATGTTGAAGTTTGAACCCCCTCCTAGCATTTGTGATTTCTGCCCCTTTATTTTCTCTCTATTCCAGTAACTAGATAATGTTTTATATGCGTGTGGTAGTTGGAATAACGTGTGTTCTTTTTTGAGTTTTTGAAATCTTTTTTTTTTTTTTTAAATAACAGCCTGTTAGTTTGTCATCTTTGTTAGTTAAACACATTGCTGTCTCTCATTTTTTTTAAATCATTTTATCTCTTGTTTCTTGCTTTGTGATTGCATGCAACTGCAAACTTGTGTTCGCATTCAAAAGATCACAATTTTTTTGGCCCCGAAACAGCATTAAGAGAAAAAATCATAAACAGGTTATTTGTATAATTTTGCCTCCGATATGTTAAAGATAATTGAGCTCCAGACATTTCGCCAGAATTACAGGTATCATGGTACTGAAGTTTGATTATTGCGAGCAAGCCTTGGTCCATATCTTCTTGTTGAAGAAGTAGCACTTTGTATGAATATAATCTCATTGGTCTCATGGTTAAGTAGTATCAATTTCTTGCTGGATCCACTTATTATGGTTCCATGCACCCACACTCTTCTTCTTAATGATTCAAAGCGTTGGAACAATTTAGAAAAAATTAACGATTGCCTTAGCTTTTATGGCTTCGCATTAAATCTATGTAAAAAATAATGTATTATAGATTGGACTCTTTGAGAAACAAAGGTGCATACTGTATAGCAATTGTTTGCTGCACTGTGTGCTAGCATCTTCACATAAATGACACTTGGAAGTGAAAAATGTTGACACTAGTAATTGAATTCATGCAACTCAAATGAGATTAAGTAAAGTAATATACATATTTGAAGAATTCATGACCAACTGTGACTCCTCAATTACCTCAAGTATGGCATACTCACAACCTACTAGACTCCCATAATTTACAAAAAGTATAGAGATAATGGAGAGAGTGAAAAGTGTCTCATGTATTGGTTATCAACTAATTACATTATATGGATCACCTTAGTAACCGCCTTAATAATTAATTAATTAATCTATTTCTCATTATCTTTGACTTGATCAGTTAAGAGATATGGAATAACTGACTACTATATGATTGTAAGTTAGGCCTTTGCCTATTAGGTTTACTTGTGGTCCACCTATCATGATCCACATAAAATCATAAAGACAAATCTGTTCTTGGCTTATTAATTAATGAAAATCCATAAATAATCTATAAGTATTCTAACAATCTCCCACTTAGATTACATTAATTATGCAAGTAGTGTAATCAAGCCACAAACAAAATTTAAAAAATAAAACATCACAAAATTATTGAATCCTATGGGAAAACAAGTGATATAATGCTTCATAGTTTGAATAGAATATAATATGAAGATTTTATTCCAGACACAGTTCAGTAAGATAAAAACATAGATCACTGATTTCTATGGAAAAAAAAGTGACTTGTATAGTGTACCACATGAAAATCATTGAATCTTATGGGAATACAAATAATATAAACACATTAATTAAACTTAAACTGAATATATAGTAGGCCTTTTGACTAAAACTTTGTAAAGAGATGACACAAAGTCACTGATCCTATTGGGAAACAAGTGACATGAGTGTACTAACAAAAATAATTGAATCCTATAGGGAGGCAAATGATATAAAGACCGTAATATCTTTGAACCAAAACTAAAACTTAGTAGAAAAACAATACAAGATCACTAAATCCCAAAAGGAAACAAGTGATACAAGATGCATAAACATAAATCAAATCATGAATTCTATGGGGAATATAAAACATCTCAATGTTTCTGAAACATAACTGAGCAAAATAGCAAAATGGCTTTAAACCATCAAATGTCCTTAAAAGGACAAAACTCAGACTCCCACTAAACCAAGGCTATCTCAAAAGGTCATTAAAACCCATATAGATAAGTCTTTAGTCATATATAGGCATAATTTATATGATAAACTTTTTTCTACATAGTAGAGTTTTGAAAAGAAGTTTAGTTATTTATTATCATGATAGAAATTTTTCTACCATGATAAGGATTTAATGATGTAAAAATAATTTATTAAACTAATAATTTGTGAAAAATCGGTTTGAAAATTTTAGGGTATTATAGATAGCATATCCTAAAAGACTAGCCTATTAGGAGGGAGAGCTCCTTGAACTTATAAACCTTACACTATTTGTGAAGCTCCCCGTTGTGAGACTCATGATAATACCACATCGTCAAGAGCCGATATCCCCGGTGGCTTCACTTCATTAGCTTGGCCTTCTCCTGGTCAGAATCCTCTGTCGGTAGCCCTTTCTGTGACATTAGTCTTAATAAAAGCACTAATGTAATAAGCATAAGCCCAAAGAGAGAGTCTATCCTAAAAGATCAGTCAATACATAAGGATGGCACAAGAATTATATATCAAATCTGCAATCTTTGTGTGCTACTAAAAAAAATCTAAGGTTATAAATAGAATTTCAACTAATACCTGCAAGGAATCACCTACTATATATGCACTATATTGCCATATCTCACAAAAAATGTGAAGACAAGAAAACGATTGGGTGCTCAAGAAATATAATTTCTTAAAATAAGTTATTGCAAATGTCTGAAATGTAAATCCTCACACTATGCACCTTCATGGAAGATCTGACCCTTAATTGGCTCTACGATATATTTCAGGTCTCAATAACTTAGTATACCTAATGCACATAGAAGGAACAAACTAAAAACAAAAATTAATAAGACAATTTGATTAAAGATAGCTGTCAATAAAATGACTATTTACATAATGTTTAGTATATAAAAATAGATCAACTTATAAGACATGGTAATTAATACTTGCCATATAAATTCACAATGCTAAACTATAAGACATGGAAACATGATGATATTATGAAAAATTCATCACATCGCACCTTTTTAAATCAGATAATCCTGTATGCAATGAATAAAACATATCTTCCAAATCATATCATTCGTACAGTAATTAATCAAATGAATGACATAATAAATTATAGATTAGTATACTGAATGAAAGATTATTTTGATTTTTGAATCCTAACACATAATTTAATATGTATGAACATACAAGGAAAATAGTATTCTCCAAGCACTGATTATGCATAATTCACTAGATCTTATTACTTACAGTTGATAATGTTATAAATTACTGAAGCCATAAAGTAAGCATCTGCGCATTATTATCAAGAACATTAGCCATCTCTACAGTCAAATAACACAAGCAACAACTAATAGCCAACTCAAAAAAGTAGTACACAAGAAAAATGGTGCCATCATATATACCTTGACATGGGAAAAAATGTCATGATACTAATTTGATATGAGCAGTTAGAAGCAACCAAACTCTAGTAAACCTTCTGATACAAAAAGGCAAAAATCTCAAAAAAGCTCTACCTGCAGTAGCATTGCCATGATTGCATAAAGGACACTCTTATTTCCAAAGAAACCTAAAGCATAAACAGTAGGAAAGATACAATGAATGAAAAGAATTGACAACAATTAAAACATACAGACCAAAAGATTAAAAAATTGATAGTTAAAAGGTTTGTCCCCTGGTACATAGTTCGCTGAAGGATGATTTCCTGTCAAAAAGCAAAAGTATTCAGATATTACCTAAAAGCTTCTTCTGTCACTGCATGGTCTGAAATGCAGAAGTACGCAAAAAAAGAAAATGTGAAACATAAAAAGTACCATTAAAAAAAAAAGAAGCTACAGAATCACAACATTGAAACACAGAGAAAAAAATAAGTAAAATTAAAAGATAAATCATAGAACCAAAGGTACACAAGATAAAACCAAAAAAATATCCAGACTAAAAACAAAACAATGAAATAAAAATTCATAACTTTTAAACAAAAGAATCAAAGTAAGGAAACAGTACAATTATTGAAGCTCTACCACCAAGTACTGACATTTTTATGCTTACAAAAATTTAGAATGAGTAGTTTAATAGGTTTGATTCAAAATTATGTATTGTAGTCCTTTAAATTGTAACTTTTCATTGCTTGTTTGAGTTTTTGTCCATGAGAAGACTCTCTGCGTATTTTTTTAGTAATAAAACCTTTATTTCATGTTAAAATATAAATTAATAATTACCATGCGATTTCCAGCTCCACTTATATGTATTTCTAGATTGCACGTCTAGAACTTAAGGTAGGGAGAATAATTAACACAGTAACTTAGAAGGCAAAAAGAATAATAAGGAATGCATCTAGATAGCTATAGCTAACAATGATTATGCAAAATAGTCCAACAATAAATAGTCGTAAAAAATAGTCCCTCTCAATGCATGTATATATTCCTTAATCTTGGTTCTTTCGAAATATTAATTATTAACTGTGTTGTATACATCATTACAACTTCTTAAAGCATTATACTTACAACTACTTTCTTACATAACAATTATGGTGCTTCGAATTTACAATAAGCAAAATGTAACTTTTTAAAAACAGCGATTGAATAGGGTACTTAAGTAAAGAAAATCAGGAACTGAAACAAAAAGCATTTTATCAAGCTACTATAAGCCAATACCATGGGTCAAATATAAAGTTTGATTCATACAAAAAGCAAAAGGAGAAACCGTGATTGACACCAAATGTGGCTAAACAATGCCAGGAGTCCAAAAGAACTTAATTAAGCTTAGCGTAACGGAAACTTAAACAATGCCATTAGAATATTAGAATATTAATCTTTAAGAAAGATGCATGGGATTGGCTTCCATTAGAAACTAATTTTTGGTAGTGTAGTAGGTGCTTCATGCCTGAAGTCATTACCTTTATAACTGAAGCTTAAGTTCTGGGGCTATCTTATTAATGGGTTATTAAGAAAACTTGTCAAAAACAAAAACAAAATAAAACAAAATAAGATTTTCCTGTTTCATCACGGACTGTGTAATGCACCTTAAGCCTAAAAAAATTGAGGACAATAATCCCATATAATAATAGCTACAAGCATAAAAAGAATATCATGACTTATAGCGATTTGAAAGTTTTGAAATTGAGCAAGAAGGTGAAGATAGGGAAAGAAGATGAAAAAATGACTACCTATCAAAAACATTTCCTCAAAACCAGGGGATCATTCAATACAAAATCAAATCTCCACATTGACTGCACCCCCATAAAATCTTTATCCCTACACACGCGATATCATAGGTTAGATTTATAAGGACTCTTTAGCACAAGAGTGTGAAAGCACTTATGAAGTACTATTGGCAACTGTCAGTAAAAATCTTCATTGACAATAGCCATGATAATTACCCTATTGTGACAATGACAGCAAATTAGGGGAGCTGAATTGAAAGAGGTTGAAGGGATGTTTTACACAAAAGGTTTCTGTCATGCCCGTTTGAATCTTTATGCAGATTGTACTCTCATCTGTTAACCTCACCCCTACACCCCTAAAGATCACCTTTCGGCTACATACACTTGAGAATTGATGAGAAGCAATGCAGAGGCATACCATATGATCCAGCATTGACAGTCATGTAATAATTAACACACGAAAAACCATTGAAAAGTGATGTAGTGGTAAGCCAAATTACAAAAAGAATAGTGAAGAAACTCAAAATGATGATTGTCATGCAATCTATACTGTTTCTGCATATGAAAATCTTTTAGCACATAAGTTGGAGGCGTGTTTTACGAAAAGTTCGGTATTTTTACTTCATTGTCTAACTTTGTATTTCACAAACCTTGACAACATTACTAGTAAAAGAAGGAACTGCACATGGAACTACATGTAGGTTTATACACAGTGGTCAAAGCTTTCACTGGAATAAAAGTAATACAAAAAACTTAATATCCCAAATGCGTAGCTTTTTTTGCGTACACTAAATATATATGGTTTGAACTTAAAGGATGTTAAAAAAAAACTTCTGCCACTTTACAAACGAATTTTCAGACCTACTTTGGGAATGCAATAACTTAAAACCTTAATCCTCCAAAAATAGGCCTAGACGTGTTATAAAGGACTGGCAAAAGTTAGTTAGGCATGAAAAGTAAAACTCAACTTCCTCAAGACTTTTTAAGGAATTTAATTTGCTTTTTCACATAACCTTTCTCCCATCAGTTCTGACTTTTTGGCAAACAATGACTAAAAAAAAAGTGTTCTAAAATAAATATCAGCCGATAGCTACAGCAGTGAACATGACTCATGACAAACATTTTGTAAAGGCTAAAAGGGTCTGGTAACTAACATTACACAAGGCTGAGATGGGACATTTTGTATAGAATGCATCCTAATTATATCTCTCCCCCTCCTGAATTAGTAGCAAGACATTTTAAATTATAATCATTGCAACATACAAGGCTATTCTATAGCATATAAAACTCGAACAAAAACTCATTAGGTTGTTTGTCCCCCTTTCATTCCTCCAGTAAGTGTTTTCTTAAATATGCCATCTTCTTTCATATATATTTTCCCTTCAAATTGTTCTACGAAAACAGTTCAAATATACATGATCACCGTGATTCAATATAAAAATACCAGGTAATTATTAAATTAAAATATCATAGTAAATTAAAGTATCCGCATATTCAAACTTTAATATAAAAAACATATCCTTAACTGAATAAGGATAAGGAACTAACTTCTGCACAATTACTTGGCAAAGGTCTTAACAAATATATAAACATGAATATAGTGGAGGTAAAGAGGTTATACCAATAAAATAACTAACTTGTAACAAAATTAATCAAGATATAGATGAGACTTAAAAAGATGGTAACTACCATTAACATTAATTAAAAATAGATATGGTGTAGAAGCACCTGATACATCATTGTTCAAAAGCCGTCTAAAGGTCCCAAGGAAATGGGGAACATATATAACCTTACAACAAAAAACCCTAAATATACAAAAAGGAAACATGCTTCCTGGTAGGGATGACATACACATAAAGACCTAAGACTACAAATGCAGACCATTCCAAACAAATACTCCAATCCTAAGGTCCCCTATAATGGTTAAGATCAAAGCCCTCCTGGTAAGAATGATCTCATCGAATTTAGGGTTCCTTAAGGCCATTGTAGCATAAATATAACTCTCCAACAATCCAACCTTGAAACCCCTGGAGGACAGTATACAAAGAAAATTACTCCCATAATGGATCTGAAACATTTCAGTTATAGTCTACCACATAAATCAAAAGGTAAAGTTCAAGGAGGGGGGACCTTAAAGACCTTATAATGAAACTATTTGACAATCTGCATCTAGAGAGGAGATAATGCATCTTTATTTGAACATGAAGAATAAAATAAACAAAAAGGAGATCTTGAAACTCAATTACGAATAGATGTAACATAAATTTCTCCAAGATCATTTGAAAGGCATATAAAGTACCTCATTTGTCTATGAACTGGCATCGACGTAACCATCAGCTACTGATAATCCGACAATGTATGATTGGCTTATTTCATCCCAAATAAACCAATACCAAACTATTGAATAAATTAAGGCAGAACCAACATGCTTGCAAAACGTTAAAAGTTTGGTAGAAAGAAAATGTAAAAACAGTGCATAAATTCACAAATAGATCATTACCAAGACAATGCTGAGATAAAGTGTAAGCATATTCAAAGTTATTGCTGAGAAATGATCATTACCAGAAATTAATTTTAATCAATCAAGAAAGCATCCATCTTTGGTTCATCTTTGACAAACATTCTCCAAGGAAACATGTGCCATTATGCAACACTTAAAAACAGTCTCTATATAATAATGACTTAACATGCATACAAGTACAAGACAAAGAAAAGAAATATCTGTACATGGTCTAAATGTTATCATCAGAATTTTCCTTTATCTCGATCATCCTTTCTTCCCTCACCGCACTGTAGACCCAGCTACAGAGATTCTACTCGTTAATCCCAGGTGAGGTTGACAAACAGATCACTTGCCTATTAAAAGTTCTATGAGAAGGCTTTCATAGCTCCAGACAGAAATCAACATCATATAATATATATTGTAGTAAGCAAAAAATGAGAGGGAAAGTGAGAACTTAAGAACCTAAAGAAGGCAATTAGGAAGCAAGTGAATTTGGATGAAGAAGGCCGTACGTGACAGGAGTTTCAAATTTCAGTGTCGATCTTTAAACACCTAATCTCATGACTTCTTAAGAAAACTTTTCCTTACATAGGAAAAAACAAAGAATTCAGGAGATTAATTCCTGATTACATTACCATAGGCCAAAATCTGATTTTGAAGAGCAAGCTAGAATCAGTCTCTCTTATTTTGTTTTGGGAGCGAAGTAGCCAAACAATTAACACTGAAACCAAAAGAGAACAAAACCAGAAGCCCACACTACAGATAATAACTGAAAACCCATATATCGAACTTGCACCGAAATCGTGGGTTGCCGGACTCGTTTCCGAAGATAAACTCACTAGAAAAATCACCGTTGAACTTATACTTGACAGAAGGGTTAGTGGTGAGCCCAACGATGTTTTCAAACTTCATGAGATGCTAGTTGAAGCCTTATGAGTTGTTGTGGTGAACAGTCCCTCGGCCACTGGCGAAGCTCTGACCAGTGAACTTCCACTTGACAGAAGGGTTAGTGGTGAGCCCAACGATGTTTCCGAACTTCATGAGATGCTAGCTGAAGCCTTATGAGTTGTCGCGGTGGATGGTACCTCAGCCATTGGTGAAGCTACGACTGGACTGCTCACTGGAGTCGGGCTGATTTCTTCGAAGAAGACGTTTAGAGCAAAGAGTGACTGACAAGTGTCTTGTTCGAACAGGTAAAATAAACAGTAGAGCAGGAGCAATCAAATGAGATGTATGAGTAACCATGTGCACAGGGCTTGAGATTACTATCAGCTTTGGGGGAAAAAAAACAGAGAGAAACGAAGTTTTTAAAGCTTGCACCGAAGATAGAAGCCAGTACTGACTCTATGAATAGTAAAATGTGAGATTTGGTTCTATGAACAGTAAAATGTTAGAAAAGCCGCTTTAAGGAATTGGCTAGGGCCGTTTTGATATATTGATGATTGCATTATAATTAGCCACAATCACCACTTTTTCCTTCCCGGTCTAAGCTGACCTGACCGTAATATAAAATGATTAACAATTCTTGTGATCGTACGTAGTTTCAAAATGTTAAGAAATTCTCGTCAAAATGACAAAGTTGACTTATATCACTAAAGTTTGGCCGAAAAGAAACTCAGATCAGTATATAACGTGTGCTCCATTTGTATCCCTAATAATAAATAAAAAAGAATCCACAACTGAGAAACCCCTAACTCAAGTCGCCCGCATAAATAAAGCTATGTATTCAAGATTTATTGCACACTCTGTTTCTCCCAGTACTTTCTCTCCCACAAGTCAACCTGTTCAATTGAACTCTGCTTTCTGCTTAAATGAGAATGTAAAGATGGAGGATCGTAAGGAGGAGGCAGAGTGCATGGATTGGTGTTTGAAGGACCCTTCACCATTGAATCCGTCATGAACTTCTTGTCAAGCCCCTCTGCTTTACAAACCATGGCTTCTGCACACAGTTCTACAGATTTCTCACTCACAGAGGGCTTGTATCTGAGCAGCTTAGCATACGAACTTAGAAGATGAAACATGTAATCATACACGTACTCCATCTTCAGCTCCTGTTGCATGAAATCACTCGCTGCTTTTCCTATCTCTTGTGCCTGATGAATTCCACAAACAGCAGGTACAGATTTACAGTCAAGTTGGCATGGTAAAAATATAACAGATTAGTCAAAGATTTACCTTCTTTTTGTGGTTGTTGCCCCAATCCACTGCAAACTTAATGGATCTGCACTTGTCATCTTCCTTGATGGGCCAGTAGTGGTGCACTGGAAGCAAACCTCTCGTGAAGAAGTCATAGTAATGAGGCTTTACTAATAAAGTGACAGAATCACAGGATAGTATGTATTTTTCACTCACGGACCAAGCAGACCCTTCAATGTAGATCTTGTATCTGCGTGCATCACGAGTTTTGCCTATTTACACACACATATCAAGTGATAAATAATTCAGCAAGCAAGGCAAGACCGAGCTAGTTTAATTACCTATGAGTGCATTGGCTAGCCAGGTCTGATTTCTTGAAGCCTTGTCGAGATTCTGATATCCAATCCTGCCAAAGAAAGAAGAATAATATAATATTTCAGTATGAACGTGAAGCTTTGTCGTAAATATTGAAAATAAAGGTCAAAGGAATTACCTGGGCGTATAAACGAGCATTCCAATCATGGGTTTGAGAGAGATTGCATTTGAGGAGGTCTTGTCTGGTTTCAGCAACAGAAGGATTGCCTTTCCAGTAAGCATGAGGCTCTCTTTTTGACCATCTTGTCCTCTTATTTCCCTCTTTCAACTCTCCCAACAATCTCTCCCAGGGCTTTATGTTCACCTCTGGCCTTCACATCATTGTATCATTATCACTACGCTTCTTCTTTCTGGTAAATTTTACTTCTATGTTTTATTCATCACAATTTAATTTTGTTCAATTAAATTCATTAATAATAGTTAAGAGTGACTTAAAATGCATGAAAATTACGTCCGTGCACATGGGTAAATTAAACTGATAAGAAAATGCTCTGCCGAAAAAACCCTCAAACTGATTTGAAACAATCATGTTCATGATATTTTTGCACAAGTAGTCTCAACCTACAGCTACAATCTACAATTATACCAAGCCTAAAATGAATTGTATTAGTCGTGATATATTTATAAATTGTATTAAATTACATTAAATTTTAATTTTAAAACCAATTTGAATGCTGTATTTATAAAATTATATGGAAACTATGCTATTTATTAATAGTAATATTCACATCAAATTTCATATAAACACAAGCTCGCATTTTGTTTCTTTCAAAACAATTTATAATCTGTAATATCTTTAAAATCAGGAGATTAAACGATAGGTGACAGCAAAACTTGGGCAGTTGAACGAATTTCCTTTAGCAGGTAAGAATTCTAAAAATAAATAAATGAATAAAATAAGAGCAAAAGGGTTGGCGACTTACCATCCCCAAAAGGACCAATCAGGGAAAACAATATCCAACGTGGCATCGTCGGCACAATAACGGAAAAGCGGAGGTGGGGCCGTGGCATTGGGCCCACTATGCTCAACGGTCTTGATCACAGGCCAATCCACGCAGTCGAACATCAACTCCAGATCAGGCACCTTCCCGGGGTACCTCCGTAACAACTGTAGGATCCCCCACACCGTAAAAACGTCTCTCGTCTGAAACGCCTTCGTGTACGTCTCCAAATAGGCCTTCCCTCCCATGATGACTAGTTTGAAATTCGCCGTCCTCCTCGCCCTCTCCACCATCTCCTTTGTTATCCCCGTGTGGGCCCACGGCCTCAGATCTTCGTGTATCCAACGGAAGTACTCTGGACACGTGCCTCCTTCTTGACGATAATGATCATCTGGTGGGGTAAGGTAGTTTCCTGGGCATTTTCCGGTGCGGGTATATTCACTGCAATTCAGTGGGATTTCCACTGGCCTACTGGAGTCCAAGTTGTCGGCGAATGACGTCGTTATTGGTTTGTCACCAGGAATAATTACCTGTAATAAAACTTTGGTCAGCTCCTGTGGCTATGGGTGTAAAATGTATTGATTATATTTATTTGTTATCATCCTCATAATTATAACAGTTATTATCAGATATGTAATCCACAAAAATGAATGATAATATGATATTACCCCTAATACCATGACAAAGATTCTCCCCTAAATGAACAGTGACAGAGAATCTAACCTTCATTTTGGTACTCATAATAACAGCTCAGGCAAAAAAGTAGTAACGATATTTATGTATTTATAAGATAAAAGGCAAAGCTAAAAATATTGAGATATTAGAACTTGAGGTTACTTATTATAACAGCTGTAGAATCTTATATAATGAATGTCATCCTTGTCTTTCGGGTGACTTCATTAAAATGTGGATTCTCCTTCCTTATGAGAAAACTGATTAATTAATGTTGCAAAGTCAGTCGGGGAACCAATGAGCGTGATGTGGTCCAAACAAGCTCAAGCACACGGTAACACGTGGCGCTCTGTTTTCTCCAGCTTTGTGAAAGTCACGAAATTTGTAGGGTACGAACGCAGTCGTGCCGGTCCCACAAGACTTATATAGCCACTTGTGCAGACACGTGGCGACAATCACACAAACTCTCTATACGACCTTTGCATTTTCCTGCCTAGTTAACCGACGATAGCCGATAGCGGCTCGTGTTAATCACATTCAAAATTTCTAGAATGAAAGTGGTGATCCACCGAAACGACCTGAGTTAGTGGGCCGTTTGATTATTTTAATTACGACGAAGCGACAAGTGCAAGAAGTCGTTTAAATAATTGCGAGCCTAGCCTAGGTCCATGGGAATGGAGATTCAATGTTCCAAATTCGTGATACGCCAGACGTCTAAGTAACGGGGAAGACAATTGTGGCCAAAAAAGAAACGTGGAGGACAACTAATGCGAAGAGACTTTAGGGAGCCAATCGAGGTCAGACGAAGAGGCACATACCGTGGGATTGAGAAAGCGCGAGCAGGCCAACGCGCCGACGACGAGGAAGATTGTGAAGGCCAGAAGAACAGACGCGGATCTGCCTGGTGACTTCATAAATGGACGCCAGATCGTGTCTGGGAAATGACGGAAAGCCCACGATCCCAGATTCTCATAGCCCTGCAACTGCATCTGCAATCTCTGCACCACGCTGTTCTCTCTCAGCCTCTGTCTGGCTCCGCCACACCCGCCGCGCACTGTCCTCTGCATATTCCACATTAGTCAAAGATACCAGCTTTCTCAGAGTTCCTTCAATGGCGTCACTGAATTTCTCAGCTTCTAAGGAGACTAGAGAGAGAGCTGATGCTGAGCATGGTTAGTATGATATGTTGAATCATATGAAAGAACGAACAAGAACAGAGAGAGAAAGAGAGAGGAGTAACCTGGGAGTTTAACTTTTCGTGGTGGTAGATTCAGTAAAGAACCTGTATTAAAAGATACGTTAACCTTTTGAGAGAAAGAAACGGCGAGCAGATCGGATTCTTGGTTGATAGAAAGTTAAAACAGGGGAGGGGAGAGAAGCGGCTTCAGAAAATTGAACAGTGAGATGGAAATGGTGGGATCAGTGTAATGATTTCGTGACACCATCCTACTAGTGCGATTACTTGTGTGATTATGAAGAGACTTGGATGAAAAGAAGAAGAAAGTGAAGTATAAGTGGTGGTGGAATTGGACCTAGAAATTTTGAAACTTGCTGGCGAAGATCGAAGAAACAAACAAAAGTTAGAGACCTGCAGATTTAGCGGACTCTGTCTGATTTTGGGAATTTAGTTTCATACCGTGGTTACAAGCATACCACTTATTTATATCTGTGTTTAGCTTTCTAGTCTCCCGTTTACCTTTTCGTTCCTTTTTATTGTCACCAAAAATCTACCTACCTTTCCACCTTAATTTTTTTTTTTATATTAATTGATTTGGCCCACAAAAAAGAAGAAATTATTTGTTGGATTTCCAAAATTTCCAAATACGGCTATCCATGTCTGACTAAAAATTATTTGTTGAAAAAGGTTATTAAAAATTTATACTTTTTTTTAACAGAAAAATTTATACTATTTAAAAGGTCAGTATATAATGTCTTTTGTCTTTTTTTTTTCTTCGAAAGATAGGGTACTCCCTCAACTTAGAGGTTCCCTGAATTGATAAATTAAACAATTTAAAATTTTCCAATGTCAATCATTGTTAAGTTTATAATTGAGAACTTGTTATTTTTGAAGCGTGAAAAATACTATACTACAAATTTAACTAATTAAAATTGATGAATTTATTATAGCATCAGAAGTACTTCCTCGATTCTTATATATAAAAAATTTTTTAAAACTTTTTTTATCTCTAAATATAAAAAATTAATAACATATTTTTTAATGAATGGATTATTAATTTATTTTAAAATAAGAGATTTATTTTTTATTTATAATAATTAAAAAAAATAAAATGTTATTATATTTTAATTATATAATTAATTTTTATTAATTTACATGATTCAATTAAAAAATATTTTATATATAAGGGTAACGGCAAAATTGGATTAAACAGGAACCTAATGAGTTGTATTTAGGAGGCGGGGGAAACAAGAAAGAAAGAAACAGAAAGAAAGGAAAGAGAGATTATTACCTTTTATGGTTAATGAGAAATTTTGGAATTCAAAAAGTCCAAGGGTGAGACTGAGGACTGAGGATAGGATAGGGATTAGGAAGGAAATCACATGCAATGGTGTCTGAAAATGAAGATGACAATCATGTTTTGTCGCACCGTTGTTATCTTCTGAGATGGAAGCTTGAAAACGACAACTTGTCACCGTAAAATAAGAAGGAAACGAGAACTTATAATGTTCCAAGTGGATGCAATGGTTCATCAATTAAACTACCAACTAGTAGTATTATTATTAGCTTCATTCAACTTTTCGACTAACTGGTTCTTTGGGACGACCACTTTAACTATTAATTAAAACCATACATCCGTTAATTAATGTCTATTCTAAAACTAAACAGATTCTCAAGCAAGCCCTCCAATTTGTTCAGTATTCATAACAGCTTTGATTGGTCTTTTTCAAGTTGTAACCCTAACGTCATAATTGTATTGTTCATTCTTTAATCAAACACAAATAAATGTTTCACCAACACTCCTATCAATTGCAAGCAAGAACACAGGGTTGCTCGCTGTTGGCCACCAAACAAAAAAAAGTACACAAACTAGATGAGCTACGTGTATTACAAAAAAATTTAAAAATTGAATAACCATATAGCGTCGCGATTTGTAAATTGAAGTGATGATTTATATGAATGACATCACTTATTAGAAATTTTAGAATTAAATGACAAATCTACTCATAAAATTTTTCTTTAGGAGCACCCAATATAATTAAGTGGAATAAGGTAAAAATACCCCTAACATTTATTTAAGAAGCGCAACCATGCCTGAATCTTTTGAGGAGCTTAACATCTATTATATTTCCACACAATACTCACCATGTGTTGCTAGGTGTTACCAAATCAGCCATTCACTTTTCTCCTCCTTCCACATGTCCTCCAAAACTTCTCTCTCCTTTCATTCTCTCCCTTCGATGTGTTATATTGAACTCCTCTATGCATGTGTGTGTGTGTGTTTCAAGATTAACTCTACCACCACGCTGCTCAATTCCTATCGTTCTTCGATCAAGGAAACATTGTGATGTAAAATGGGAAGGGGAGAGGGGAATAGAGAGAAGAGAAAGAGGGGGAGAGACAAAGAAGGAGATAGAAGCCGAAACTTTCAAAAACTCTTATTCAATAATACTCAAAAGCTAAATACAAATAAAAAATCTAACTTTATTTATAAATACCTAAAAATAATAACATAATAATAATTTAAATTCAATTATAAATCATACATCTAATTCAAATCTTAAATATATTAATATCTAAGATAATGATAAAATAAAATAATAAATCTTAATTTTAATAGATAAACATCTTTATTTGAATATCTTTAATAGATAATCCTAATATCTTAAATAAATCCTAATTATTTTAATTAACTATCATCCCATATTCCATCATTTCTCCCTTACTTGAAGAACTCATCAAGGCACAAATTAGTTGAGAAGGGAAGGGCGGGATAAAATTTTATCCACGTGCATAGATTTAGAAATCATTTCCAACAAGTGAGATAGTGATGAACTGCATCAAGTGAAGGATAACATTGATTATTTAGAATCTCTAGAAAACCTTTACAGTAGACAAGATAATGTTGAAGCTTCCTATTCAATGATAGGACATTCTTGGCAGATGCAACTTGATAAGGTGAATCTGTAGTATGATGAGGTTGGTTCTAGCTAATTACAACTTGGGAAGGTGCCATTTACAAGAAGTATATGGGCCTTTAATAGAGTTTTTAATGTAGTTTGTAATGACAAAGGTGCTAGAATGGACAAACGTCTCTCATGATTAGGTTCCATAATGGTTACTATAGATTCCTCTAAATTTAAGGTAGGAGTTTTAACCTCTTCTTGCTTGATTGCTTGTTCTTGCTAATTGAGGGATTCTAATTTTTTTTGAAAACTCTTTATTTTTTCAGTTAAGCGTGCACCTTCTTGAATTTGATGTTTCACTTCAGCATTGTGGCATTTGACCTTAGCTATTCACTTTTCAAATGTAGCATTAAAACTTTCATCCGAAGCAATCTATCATAAATATTCAACCCTACAACATGTTTCATAACCACACCATTAATCGAATGCATACTAATATTATCATCATTCTTTAATTATTTTTCTCTAGTAGCCTTCATTATATTATGGATGCCTAACATATCAAGGTAGGTGCCATGATATTTTGGCACTCCTTGCATGGGCATTCATAATAATATCCTATATAAAATCATGAATATATGGATTGAAAATTACCCTTCAAATATTTTATATAATGATATGTGGCTTTAGGGAAGGTTTGGGTTATTTTATAAATCTCAACTAGAAAAGTAACACAAGAAAGGAAGGTGGAATCAGGCTCTAGTACCAAATTCATGTGAAACAAGAAAGGGAGAGGGGGACAAAGAGAAGAGAAGGAGGGAGAAAGAAAGAAAGAAGGGGAAGGCCAAAATTCTTGAAAACTCTTATTCAATAATACTCAAAAATTGAATACAAATCAAAAATTTCTTGAAAATTCTTATTTAATAATACTCAAAAGCTAAATACAAATGAAAAATCTAACTTTATTTATAGAGATATAAAAATAATAAGATAATAATAATTTAAATTCAAATCTAAATCCTAAATCTAATTTAAATCTTGAATATGTTGATATCTAAGATAACGATAAAATAAAATAATAAATCCTAATTTCAATGGATCAATATCTTTATTTGAATATCCCTAATAAATAATCCTAATATCTTAAATAAATTCTAATTATCATAATGAACCATTATCTCATATTCCATCATATTGCCACTCAGTTAACTTGCCTCTGCAATCTCTACGCCACCCTTAATTTGATTGAAACTTTTTGCATTTACACCACCCAAGCAATTAGACTCAACCACGATTATGGTGTCATAAGCGATCTCTCTGACTACAAGGGTATTTGCTACATTTTGTCAATTTTCATCTTCTTGTTCTTTAAGATTCCCTTGAATTTTGTAGATTTCAATTGATTTCTTTCTTTTGCATCAATCTAATCATTAATTCCTTCTCTCTGACTTTTGAACCCCTTCTCTCTCACAATGTTCGGGGTTTCTGACTTAGTTAAAGGTGAGGTAACTTGTGGGGATTGAGGAAAAGAGGAGGCAACTATCTACTAATCTATAAAGCTGAAGACGAAAAATGTAATACCCTAATTGACATTACCATTTAACATTCCACACAATCAACCAACCAATTTTAAACCATTTTCTTTAAAGGATTAGGATTGTATCATCTGCCTTGACATTATCAAGACAACACACTTACATGTCATTGTGATAATTAGGATTAAATAAAATTCCAAGTAAAAGTTATCATAACCCAAGGGTTTAAAAGTAATTAGTTTAAAACAATGGGATCCCAAAAAAACCCTCTTGAAATATGTTGTTTGAGCTTAAACTAAAGTTTAAAATCAATCAAATATGATAACAAAAGCATGAAAACCATAAGCATATGAAAATAAGATAATATAATATGGAATTTTCCTAGAAATTAGCCCGTCCACCACGACACAGGCCACACCTGCTGCAGCGGATGGCACAGAGAATTAGTCCCTTGGTGAGCATTTACGCCATAGCGTGCACCTACTGTCATGACAGCATTTTAAATTTCCAGAGTGAGCTGTTTCACCATCCGACATTCGATTTGAGCGGTTCAAATATCCACACGAAGCTATTTGAGCCTTCTAGTTAATGGCATTGGTCTCACACTTAAATAATCATCCCTTAAAAAGATAGACAGTTGAACTCAAAATGATTTGTTTTCACCTTAAAACACTTTTAAGGGTGTCCAAATCACAACACCAAATGCCATTAGCTCCAGAATCACTTTGACCACCTCAAATAGACCACACATAACTCACATGGCCAATCATATCACACAAATAACCAAGCATACTTAAAATGACTACCAAACTCTCAATTCATAGCAACATAAAAGGGTGGACGAAACTTAACACAAATATTATTTTAATCATTTTGACAAATAAACATTACAATTATATTACTTGTAATTGTATCTTGGCCGAACACACTCCTTTAATCATAATAGCATCAATCTTAAGCCAAGATACGCACCTATTTCACATATTCTCATACAAATGATAATATAATCATGAAATGCTCCTAAGTTGGCATAATATTATGGCATATTCATTACAAACCCAAAAAGA